TAAATCAGTTGTATTATTACAAACAGGGTAATGTCAGAATCGCATCAAGCCATCGGTGAAATTTTGTGGTTTGCAGCACGAGGTGGAAGCTGGCAGCTATCAGTACAAATGACATTTGTTAACAGGGATGAACAAATTGCTATGTCAATGTTTGATGTAAAGCGTTCGGTTCTGGGATTGCATTTCTGTTGATTCGTTCAGATTTGTCTGTCACATTCTGCTGCGACCACAACATGCATGTCTAAAGCTTTAGTGTGTGGGTCAGAATAGGCAACAAAAAAAAAGGTGCCTGCATTTTGCAAAATAAGACCTGTTGCTGTAAGACATCTTTATTTTTTGGCCTAATGGTTTTTGGACATGTGCTCGGTCATATCGAATCTTTTCTATGGACATCTTTGAGCAACAAAATCGTTAACTTGCTGATTGAGTGATTTGATTTAGGGGAAACATATTCAGGCATATAAGGGAAGAAAAGTAGAGTTTCCCACACAGGCTTTATTTTTGATGATGTGAAAATTCTCTGTCAATAGCTGAGAGAAAGACGTTTTACCATTTTTTTTTCGTCAAATTCGAAATATTGCAAGAGTCAAGGCAACTATGATTGAGGTCACTGTTTAAATACAATTTTGATTATTTTCAATTCTGTGATTTTTAAAAAAAAACTTTTATGGGCTATCTAAATTCAATCTTCAATTTAAAAACTTTATTTGTATAGTTCATAACAAATGTAATCTCCACACACTTTACAAAAAGGGGTTTGGACTGTACTCTGTTATATTATCTACAAAGACACAACATTAATCCACCATGAGCACAGCATTAAGAAACACTGGGCAAAGTTACAATTGCAAGAAAAAACGTCCTTTTTAACAGGCAGACACCAAGAGGAAGGGGCCCTGGATAGCCTAGTGGTTACATGTACAGAGGCTGTAGTCCTCGTTGCAGGCCTTTGCTGCCTGTCCACCCCCCCCCCCCCACTCTCTCCTCCCAACATTTCCTTCCTCTCTTCAGCTGTCCCGTCTAATAAAGGTAAAAAGGCCCAAACATATAACGTAAAAAAAAGAAGATGCAGACTCATGTAAAACAGCTTTCTGTTAAAATTCGAATGCTTTTGAAAAATATGGCAAAAAGGTGGCTGGAGAACTTTTAACCCGCTCCCTGATAACTGTTGTGGCTTGTCTTTAACACAAGGAGGCGCTATTGGACAAAATATTGATGCTGTGCCTGCTGTCATTTAGTCGTCCTCCTACAGCTCCCTTTCTCTGTCTCCCCTCCTCTCACAGGTGACGTGTTGGGCCAGCAGTACACCACTCCGGAGGACGTCCTCTACAACAAGGGTTCTGATGTCATCATTGTTGGTCGCGGTATCCTGGAGGCCCCTGATAGGCTGAAGGCCGCTGAGTCATACAGAATGTCAGGCTGGGAGGCTTACACCAAAAGACTGAGCAAGGTTGCACAATAGGAGGGAGTTCTGTGCTACTCCATAGAATTTCTTATTCCTTCTCTCAGCTATACAAACAAGGACCTCTGTGGGAAAAAAAAAACAACTTAATATACTTTTGTTGCAGTTTTGATGAACACCAGTGGGCACGTAGTAATAGAATACATAGAAACATATGTAGACATCACACTGCTGCATCAGAACGCACACCTGTTATTACACAATCACACAGTTGACTGACATCTGTTTGGGCCTTCTGGACGGTGTGGGGATCAGACACTTTACTGTTTACAACATTTAATTCTGTCCTGTTAAGACGCTGCTTTGTTCTCATGATTCCCTCCTAAACCTGAAGTCCACCACTGTGGTACTTCTGTCCAGGTTAAAAAAAAAAAAACACTGGGGAGTTTCAGTATTTCAGAGTTGAACCCTTCTGTCCAACAAGCAGAACTCTCCATAAATAATAAAGATGTGAAAGTCATCTGTGGAGCTTGGGATTAAGGTGGATTGCAAGGTGTTTTCTACCATGCTTATGCATGCTTTTGTATATTTTCTGAAATGTTCGATCAAGATCTGTGGTACGAATGAGGGGTGTGGCTTTGTTTTTGCAGTTTTTGTACAATACATTAAATTTCAGGTTATTTTTCAATTTACAAATGGGACTTAAGGTCAACTAAAAACAATGGCATTTGACTCACCTGGTTGAGTGCACGTCCTTGAAGCAAATGTGACAGAAACTGTCAACCATCAAAACAGGGATCTGGCTGCTTGAGATTGATTGTGTTTTTCAGCAGCTTGAATTATTGACTATTTGTTCTGTTGTTCAGCGTTCAGTGAGTCCCTCAGGTTCGCAGCTGTGCATGTCACAGCTGTCTTTCTTCAGTCCAATGTGTACCGTCCATATTGTTAAACTCAAAATAAACACTTATGTGTTGTTGTTTCTGCACACACGGTCAATGTGAAATGCTCAGTGACACCAGCAAACCCAGCCACAGGTTGTTCTCTGCTTCAATCGTCTTGTGAAAGTCGCTGGATAAAGGAGCTCTTGTTTAGATAAGACACCTTCAGTTTGTGTCACCTCCCTGGAGAAATAGTCAGAAGTAAACAGTGTTTTCCTGGAGCCATGACAGTTGTGCTGTTACTGCTGGAGAACAGGGACCTCAATGGTGTCATGGTAATAATCAGGGATTTCTGCTTCCTGGTTTAATGGATGAATAGGAAGTGTGTTCTCTTACAGGAACCTCGTTTGGCTTTTTCCTTCCATTTAGTTTTTGTCTATATAACAGAAATGAAATGTCTTTTTGTCATAAGACTGACGTATTTCAATAAATCTTGTGTATCAAAAATATGTTTGAGTGTCTGTTTTAAATGGCTCCAGTTCTATGTATACGACATATTATGCAAATGGTAAGCAGGTCTGGTACTTATCTAGAAATTGTTTTTGTTTTTTTCATTCCACATCCCCTTTGGTATCTTTTCATGGATTGTTTTCCATATCCAAATTGGAGATGAATAAATGGCAGGAAACTAACAAACAGTTAAAGTGTACTGTGTCAAACACAGTAAACTGATCAGTTATTTTACTGTTAAACAATAAAGTTGGAGAGTTGATTTTCAGTGTTCGTCTGAATACAGGTTTTTGTCTATTTCCACCATGTATACATTTGAAGCACCTTTGCTGTTTATACTGATGTTTTAGCTCTGTGCAGCGTTTTTTTTTTCATTTGCAGCTCATTTCTGCAGTTGCATTTGCTTCTGGACTTTTTCTCATTTTTCTGAATTTGCTGCACGTTTTGCTGAATATAAACCATTTTGGCCTCTGCCCATCGTTTGCATTTGCTGCACAACGTTTGAATGAACCATTTAAAAAGTATTATAAACTCAGTTACAACTTTCATAACAGCCGTTTGAATATTTATTAACAGTTTACAAAACAAGTAACCCATGAACATAGCATTGATTTGCTATGTTCATGGTGGTATGGATGCTTTGTATCAGTTTCACAATTCATTTAAGCTTAAAATCATTTGGTAAACATTAACAAATAAATAATACAGTAGCCTATTTATGAGAACAAGTTTAAGGGTTCTAATGCGTGCAACAATAAACTGCCAATCATAAGTGTATTAATGTAATAATAATTTGATCATTATTGACAAGCAATAGCAAACAAGCAAACTAATAACTAAACATTATTAATCATTTCATTAGTTGATCAATTTAATGTTTGAAAATGGGGTATCACTGCTTATTAATGATTCATCATGATTATTGTTATTATAAATTTGAATTAGGCAAACTCTTTTTGTAACTAACTCTAGATTGGGGCTTACACATTTGTGTTTGTTGCCTGGGTTATCATTCTCTGCATCACATCATATTTTATTTTCTCTTGTCCTGTCTGGGTTCTTTCCTAAACTTCGGGAACTTCAGAGTACAAATGAAAAACGATTTGACATTGGCTACTGACAGTTAGTCATTACTATTAGTCCATCTTAAACCATTCACGCAAGTCTACTGGATGTTTAAAGCCCTCTCTTAGTTCTCTTATCTGTCAAACGCCATGTCCCATGTACTTTCCCCTTTTTTTTTTTTCTTTTTTTTTTTTTTACAAACCTTTCCTGTCTGTCTAACGTGACCCCGATGACGTCATCAAAGTCATCCCACCATCCTCACTCCACAAAGACTACATGCATGTCATGTATCAACTTGGAGGAGTAGGCTATCTCTTTAATTTAAAGCTGCTGGAGAGTTTGAAACAAAAAGGGGTTCAACCCATATCTCAGGAACAGAGTCTGTAATTGGCTGCTTTGACTTGCTCGTGTTGTATAAAACACCTTCATTGATTCTAAATGCATGCATGTCTTCGCTTTTATTTCACTCCTCAAACCTTCCTGCTTCCATCTTAGAGGTTGATAACATACTCAAATGGTTTTCAGATGGAACACATAGCACTAAAACCCTGCAACTCCTCAAAAACCTGTCACCTGAAAGTTTTAAAAAGTCAAAGGGTTTCTTGTGGAGATGTAAGTAATGTTATCTTCTGTTGAAAAAATTGTCCCTTTAGTGTAGGGTCAGGATTAAACCTTTCAAAACTCCATGAGTGTTCACTAAAGACCTTACCCCAGAGTTGCTGGTCGGGGTGAGCAACCGAGCAACAGAAAATAAATTTGCAAGGCATATGATATGGAAATGATGCTCCAACGGGCGCTGAATGGGACAAATTGAGTCGGCAGGTAGCGACCTTACAATGCGCCCTTTAACAGATCTTCGCAGGCACAAAGGTAAAACACGTTGCCTGGCACACGGGAGGAGGAGGAGGAGGGAGGGAGGGCACTCTGGATGGTGGAGAAGCGTTGGATAATTCACTTCGTGTGTGTGTGTGTTCGTGTATGTGCCCCGAGCACACCCCTCCCCCTTTATGTCAATATTGGATCAGAGCAATGCACCGTGCGACAGGTGTCTGTGCTCGCCTGAGGATCCTCTCTGTCGTTTTCATCCATGAGGCGTGGAGATAGGGACATGAGGGGTGGAGAAAGAGGGGGGAGACAGAGAGAGAGCATGTAGAGGTATAAAAGGTGTATCACCTGTCACAAACGGCACACATTCAGTGCGCGTAAAAGGTGAGCCAAACCTGCCCAGGCATGCGCATTTTGTCCTCGACCTCTTTGCTTTTTGAAGGTAAGCCTTAAGGTTACTCTTTTTTTCATTCATTTATGCTCTTAAAACTTTTTCTCGTTTTGCACTGATGTCAAATTTCTTGGTGTTTTAAACTTTTTAAATCTCCCTCCAAAGGTAATCTTGACAACAGAGGAGCCAGCTGTTACGCGCTCACAGCCTCTCTCTCAGGATCATCCTCTGACTTCTTGTGCCCTTTTCATGTCTGTATTTGCTTCACGTTGAGCCTCACGCACAATACCTGAAGATGAAGTTTTGTTCGTTCGGCTCGCGTTATGCAGGTACGGGTTGGCAACTTGAAAAGACACAAAACTTGATGTTGACTGTTGCATCACTGTTCCTGCTATTGCCAATCTTCAGTTCAGACTAATTATGTCAAGTTTTGGGCACCCAATTGGTAGGCCTCATGTTGCTGCGTTTCTGCAACACCAGAGGGCCAAGGAATATTATTAAAAAAAAAAGCTTTTATACATGATCCACGAAGTCTGGATCACTGCTCCATCTAAACGACTTAGTAACAACAACATTTTATTAACCGAAGCACCAGGTGTGGAGAGTTGGTTGCTGGCTAGATAGCCTCATTTGCATACAGGTGGCTGCAGGTCATGCAGGAAAGAAAGCCGTGTCAACCTTGTACAACTTGTTGGTGCTGAATACTGAAGTCACTTTGTTTGCCCAAAGGATGACGGTAAAGAATAGAAATATGTTGTCTAAATGAAAAATCTGATTGTAAGTTAAAAAAAAAAAAAATTAAATTGTGATTTTGTTTAAAAAAATAAAAGGTTACAGCAAGCAGATTTTGTTGATTTGATTTGCAATTGAGGCTAAAAAGACATATGTTCATAGATTTAAAAAAAAAAAGAAGATCCATCCTGTATATCTAAAACTTGTTTTCATGTTTCACTTCACTTAAAAGAAAGATTATGAGTCCTAAAAACATCCAGATTCAAAACTAACTACATAAAAACAGCAAGATGAGAAATTGTAATTTAACACCCACATGAATCGATATGGTCATTTAAACATGCTTGATCTAAGCAGACACACCTTCATGTTCAGGTCTCAAACGAGGCTGCAATTGAAACCGTGTAACTGCTGATAACCTCTCACTGATAGTGTGAAAGTGTCCAACTGATGGCCTTTTTCTGTTTACTTTTATCCTGTGGTAGAACCTTTCTTTTATGTGCCTTATGTTTGAGTCCCCCCCCCCCCCCCCCCTGCACGATACCATATCTTTAAAGGTTGACATTTACAACGACAGGGATGATAATCTTCATATCTCCAGTCGGCTCTTATTTGATAACCGTTTTCCCGATGGCCCATTCATGATGACAGCATGTATTTTCCACTGGGGGCCTATTCATTACTGTCCATCTCCTACGTCATGACCCGAGGCCTCAGGCAGGCAGCAGGGAGCACAGAGATGGGCTTAATGGGAGGTTATGTTAATCATTAACTAAACATTAACCACTTACACACACCAGACATCTGATATGGACCATCTGTCATTTGAACGCTATGATGCAAAATTCATCTTTTTCTTTTTTTAATTGTTCCTCATGTTTAAGAGTTTGTTAGCCTTTAAGCGGGAAATTAAAATGTATTTTTTTAATACAGCCCCCTAATGAAAAGCACAAAACTGATGCCACTGTTGCTGCTGTGCTATTTATCTCTATTCCCTAAGAAATAACTACATCCAGCTCTAAAACATCATAAATGCCTCATATGTTTTTAACCACTATTCCCCATACATGTCAACCATTAAATCATGTTTGTGAAATTGTCTGCTTAATCTATTATTAAAAAGAAACATTTCTATAAAGGTTTAAGACCAAGTGCTTCAAGATGGAACATTTGTATCATGACATTTGAGGGTTCACTTGAAAATTACAAATCCTAAAATAATCCTTTTGCCCAAAAGTCAAACACCCTTTGTCAAGCTGTGTCATACAATTAAAAGTTGTATGTTTTCACATATCTGACGATCTTATTTAGTATTTTTCTGCAGATCATTATTAAATCTATACTCTCTTTAAACGGGAAATCCCCATCTCTTGTGACTGAATGAAAAAATGTGCAGCAGGCCATCACCTTAAAAGAGGCCTTGCGGGAGAGTCTCTCCTTCATGTCAGTCTTTACCTGCGAGCCTATATTTGCCTCTGCTTAGAGCTCTAGTCAATATTTGTTTAAAGCCATGATGAAGGGAAAGCTCACACTCCTCAGTATCCTGGTTACCTTGCAACCACTTTAAACTGACTGTCCCAACTGGTCCTGCTGCTGCTGCTGCTGCTGCTACACTCTTAAGCTCCAGCAGCAGCTTTAGCACAAAGGTGATCTGTGAAGGATTCAGTGAGGAAGCTGGCCACATGCTTTCCTGTGCTCAAAAAGCTGCATAGTCTAAATAAGAGTGTGAGGAAAATTGTTTTATTGCAGTAAGTAGGAATCAGTCACTCTAAATCAAAGTGCAACAGCGTAGTTATTTTTAAACGATACAAAGAATTAAGAAAGAGGTCAGACAGAGTATGCCACTGCTTACATTGATGACTCCTTTTCTTTACACAGAATTTCGCGAATATTATGTTCTTGCTCTATACTTATAGGAACACACACACACACACACACTCACACACACACATAGAGCTCTGCAGCCTTTATGGCCCAGATGATATGAAAGCAGGGTTATCCAGGTGTGTGCAACATGAACACAGTAATTACATACAACATACTACGAGTCCTTACCACTTTGGACAGGGTTCTATTTCCCAAGACTCTTCGCTGCATGACATCCCCCTCTCTCCCCCTCCTGTTTAATGTCATTATACTACTTTGGTTACCTTGGTTATTTAGTTGTATACTAATTTACCTTGGAACTTACTTATTATTGCAAACATTATGTTTTTGCCTGTTTGAAAAATTGTTAAGCTGAATTTTGTCAGAAAAGCACATCCACCAATGATATCAACATAGTAAACATTGGATGAATGTCGTGGTATTTTCATAAAAGAGACTACAAACACCAAGAGACTGACAACAGGAGAGCGGCTTTTCATGGTTTTTATTACATTTGAAAGTGTACACACAACGGAGCAGCAAGAAACGCTGCAGCTGAATGTTGAGAGTGTCTTTGTGTAAGTCTGCCTTTTAGACACTCTACACCCAATCTTACACAGACAGATGAAGGTCAAGGTGACTTGTTATCATAAAATAAATCCTTTGACCTTGTCCATATAGGAAACTAAGACAAGTGTCTGTTAGTCTTGGCCTTTAGGAACATCAGGTTTATCTGTCTCATGTAAATTAGTTCTGAAGGTTAAGCTTCTGTGCAGAATATTTCCGTGATATTCAACTACAACAAATGTCATTGACTTAAAATTACCCAAGTGTTGATCATTTGGTTCTTCTTCTTTCCAAAAAGCAGATGCATGGAGTGCTGAATTAGTGTAAAAAAAAAAAAAGTTGCCCCTCTGGTGCTCTTCAGTGTGGGGATCCAAGTGTTTCTCTTATCAGGGCTAAAGACTCTGAAGGCCTTCATCAGGGAAAGGTCAAGTTGTAGTAATATGATTCATTTCACAGGTAAAGTCACACAACAAACACATTTATGATAATACTACTACTGCAAAATCAATTCAGGTGTGTCTGTGGTTGAAGAGTGTTTGTATAATTTAGTGATAGAGTGACATATATACATATGTCTTAAAACCCTCTAATAAAAATATGAATGTTGTCCTATATGACTAAAATTAACTCAGCTTGACTTGAATATAAGGAACGCCCCCCCCCCCCCACACACACACACACACATGCTTGCCTCCTCTTCTTATTCCAGGACTCCTGCTGCCCTGGCTGTGACCCCATGAACTCTGCTCTGCAAGGACATACACTGTACCAGCACCATAAAGACCACTGTTTGTATATAACGCAGACATGATTACATTTGTGGTGCCTGCCAAACTGTTCACTGCTATCTGTAAATGGTGAAACAAATGCTTCCCAGAGGCATCGTGTGTGTGTGTGTGTGTGTGTGTGTGTAAATGTGTGTGTCTCTGTGTGGGTGCGTGTGCCTGTAGGATGTGTGCTGCTTCGTCTGACAGTTAGCGATAATGAAGAGTCATGCAAATGCTGGAGGCTGGTTCCCTCCTGCCCAACCCTCACCTTTTTCTCCCTGACTTTGTGATGGTAGAATGAATGCCACTGGATAAGAGTAACGAGTCAACTTGTAAGACCCCACAGAATTAGCTGAATTGGCTGATAAGGAAAGATTTAATACTCTGAATTTGAAAACTATTAGACCGTCTCCTAATGAGTAATAAAGAAAGTTTTTATCTTGAAAAGTGCAAATAAATAGAAAGTTACCAGTTCAAAACCCCTTACCCTCTTTGTGTCTGGTTGTACACCTGACTGCAACCTTTACTGTGTGTGTGTGTGTGTGTGTGTGTGTGTGTGTGTTGTCATCATGTAATTGTCTTCCAGTGTGGCAACCTTAACAGTGATAAGTCATGGACACTAACAAAAAGATGTTATAATCTTCATGGTTACATTACTCTCTGTTTTTCCTGCTGGTCGATCCAGCGGCTTGTTTGTCAGTGCATCAGAGATCAGGGAGGACAAGTGGAGGCGGTGCGAGCAGATGTCCTGCTCACATCATCCTTACCTGGATTAGTTTCCACGGTAACCTTCCACCTGAAGGAGGGCATTATTCAGCGCAATCTGTGTGTCGCTCTGTGCGTTTGTGTGTGTCATGTAAAAAAAAATAAGTCACGTGTTGGTGTGTGTGTTTGTGTGTGTGTTGTGTGTATGTGTGTGTGTGTGCAGGTGCATTTAATGACTATTCAAATAGATCCAACTCACACTGACCCAGAAAACAAAATCCATCTCACTTCCTGCAACCAAACCCAAAGAATGAATGCATTGCCTTGGCAACCTGTGGCAGCCAAACTCACAGAATTGCATTTATATCACTCACATTTTTAAAGCATTTCATTCTGTTTACACCTAGTGGCTAAAAAGTTGTGTAACATATTAAGCAATGATATGTTTGAATATATATACGAATATATAGCGAAAAGACAATTCAGCCTGAATGCTGATGATTTAAATTATTGGAAATATGCTGTCATTTGAGACCCAGTCAAAATGATACTTAAAGCTCTTGTATAAGAGTTGTATAGCGCACTTTTTTTTAGTCTTCTTACTCCTCAAGTGCTTTTACACCGTCACACCTAATAATTCACAACCATTCACATAGTGATGGCAGAAGCTGCTATGTAAAGTCCCATTAGCATTAACAGAACCGGTTGGAGCAACTTGGGGTTAAGTGTCTGGCTAAAGAACACATCGGTCATGTGGCTGCAAGGAGCGGAGGATCGAACCCCTGACCGTTAGGTTGAGAGACAAACGATTCTACCAACTGAGCCACAGCCGGATGAGGAGCTAAATAATAAATATTCTGCAAAAACCAATTCCCAATAGTAATTTTTCCAATCACATCTGGAGTGTGTAAAACTGTACCTAACTAAATATCACATTTGAATGAAAATGAATTGGTGAATAATGATGGGCAGTGCAGCATGCTGTGGAAGTCACTTTTAACATGTAATAAAATAATGTTTAGTGACTGTTGCAGGATGATCACATATTGGAACCCAATGCGTCGCCGGCAGAACAATTACCACCCAGCTTATTTTCGGTCAAATCCAATGTACAGTTGGACACATCTTTGTGCAGAAATATTAAAATGCCCCTCTTTTGTTGAATGACAGCACAAAGTTTTCTCTAAACATGTCATACTGTACTTTCTTCCTCAATGCTGACAGAACAATTGACCAGTCGAACTGAGTTCATACTAATGAATGGATTTTTCATACAGCACGATAAGGATTCAAAGCAGAACTGTACTTTCTCTGTACTTGACGACACTGTCCCTGACACATGCAAATCCCCCAGCTGTATTTAACAGGGAAATGACTTGTGTGTGTGTGAGAGAGAGAAAGAGAGAGAGAAAGTTGTGTGTGTGTGTGTGTGTGAGATAGATAGATAGAGAGAGATAGAGAGAGAGAGCGAGAGAGAGAGTGGGCACATGCATGTGTGTGTTTGTATGTATCTTTGATTTACAGCTGATCCAATTTATGAGTCCTGATGAGAAAATGTAACCACAGACACAGACACAAACACGCACGTACACGCATGCACACCCACACACACATCTACACAAATGCAAACATGCACACTATGTATGTATGTAGAAACACAATGTTCAGGTAGTAGCACATGTACACACACACACACACACACACACACACACACACACACGACATCTGTGTCTATACAAGCCTTTCCTGTCACCTGGCCATCACCTGCTCTGGGGGGGGGGGGAGTATGGTGACACATACACACACAGACACACACACACTTCAAACACACAACAGAGTAGAACAATGAAGGGGTTAACAACAGACAATGATAGAGCTGTTCATACAAACAGCTCACATTTGGTGGGTGAAATGCACACACACACTCTCACACACAAAACAAGTGACCAAACATGACCGTCAACAAGTCCGTCACTGTGAATTCACAGTTCAATAAATGTTACCGTAACTGTTACTGACGTTTCTGGGATTATAAATCTGTATCTAAATGTCATGTCAGTCCTACACTGACGATGAAATCCACTTAAAATGGACACAAAAGGCCAGCTTTACAAATCTCTGCTAAATTAAATGCAATAAATAAATTGGCCACTAGATGTCACCAGTGATGAAGGAAACAGTACTTCATCTAAACTCCAGTGTTCCCTGTTTGACATCACACTGTTACTTCTGGTGTGTTACATTTGACAAAAAAAAGTTAAAATCCTGTATATATGTTAGAGGTTAAGAACAGATGTTGTATTGTATCCATTCAGAGATTCAGAGATACAGTTTAACACTACACACAGGTTGATGACAAACACAACAACAGGTCACTTTTTTGACCAATCATACATTTTTATTCTTCTATTCTATTCAAATGAACGATGATTTTATCTGACATTTTAGTGTCTTAACTTTGGCCTAAGCTTCAAGACTAATAGAAAATGATTTACACACAAAATAATATAATACATGAAGATGATGATTTTTAAACTGTCTGTGGGATCGCTCTGATGAGCTGTAGCAGTGAAAGAAAAATCAGTAATTACATTTAGTAACAGAGGCCAAACATGAAAAATCATAGACATACAAACATAGAACAACATTCAGCTTATTACTGCTACCAATGCTTTCTGCAGTTTTGCAAGACTTAGCCAATAGTTGAGGAACTAGACAGCCATTTTTTTGTTTAGAAATATCACATCATGTCAAATTATATTAAATGTTTTCCCTCTTACAAGCCTTCATTTGATTTGTCTCTTGAACTTTATATTCAACATGTATAACTGTTTTTGTTGAATGCAAATTATTTTGGTCTTATTTCTTACCACCAATGCTTTTCTTCTAAACGTTTTACAGTTTTCAAGGTACGACCAGATCACAATGTCTCAAAGCTAATGAGCACATACTTATTTTTCCCTTTTATTTATTAATTATTTATTTGAGTTCACATGGTAGAATACTCGCTTGTTATTTGACCCCTCTTACAGTGTTTGATATACGTATATTTAGGGGATGTTGTTCCTCTGTTCCAAAGTGTGGGTGTACAAAGATGGATTACCCAATTATTCCATGTTATTCTTTTTCTGATCAACCATTGGAAATGAAGACATAAGGATGTCTTCTAGACGAAACAGGTACCTAAACTTGTACTCAGTCACTGTGGGATGCCATCTAATTCAGGACCCAGGTTACCTACAGCAGAGGGAGAAAGAGAGAGGGGGGGGATCAGCTCCCAGAATGTGTCTATTATCCTGCCACACCAATCAAACTGTTGTGTCAGTGTGTTACCATTGTATGCCCGCTGGTCAGGTTGCCTCTGACCATGGCTGCCATATTGATGACTAAGTCAGTTTGGGGCTCTGAGGACAATGGTGCTCTGGAGCCTCCACAAAGCACGGGGCTAATGCTCCCCTTTCAGCCGGCCCGCTCAGCTGCTGAGTGTGCAAGGCTGCTGGGCAAATGGAGTGGCGCAGGTCCAGGGGGCCCGGCCCTATAAAAACGCAGGCGAGGGGCTCTTCCCCGACATTGATTATACTGGATCTGTCCCACCTCAGTACGTCTGTAAGTATATCAACACATCGCTTCAGACCTATAGCCAAGAACCTGCAGTCAGGGGACAGCTAAGTGTACTGGGGTGGCGCTATACAGCAAATGAGATGCTGCTATTTTGTTATTTTTTATCAGAGAGAGACAGCTGTGGGTGCTCTTTATAATGAGATTTGCTAAGGAGTAAAAACATGAAAACATAGTGTTGCTTTTAGGGATAGCATGATGATGCTTTACTGGTGTGCTTGTACTTGGCTGGCAAACATGGGTGGACTTTGCCCCCTTTTTGACACCTCTGGGAGCTGAACTAAATACCCTTTAACAGTAAAGGTTAAATAATGTTCTCTAGGTGCATTTTTATTATTCAATATGTCTCTAATCAGTTGGTTCTTTAAGGCTAAAAAAACAGAGACTGCAGCGGATGATTCAAATAATCCTTAGATGAGTCTATTCGATTTTAAATCTGACTTCTAGTATCTGTTCAAACATTTGCTTATTGTTATTTAATGTTCCATCTTTTAAAACTGAATTCTTTTTAAACCCTCTGCTCTGGACAGAGATTAACCCTTAGGGAGAAACAGCAGCCATGAACACTCAACAGATGGAGCAGATGGGCCAGTTCAAGATCACAGTGTGGGAGGAGGAGAACTTCCAGGGAAAGCGCTGTGAGTTCATGCTGGAGTGCCAGAACATCATGGAGAGGGGATTCAACAAGATCCGTTCCATCAAGGTTGAGAATGGACCGTAAGTCCACCTTATTGGTGCTCCTCTCTTGCTTTGTTTCTTTTTCTTTCTCCTTGTCACTCCATCTATCTATAAGATCTGTGATTTCCAATTATCATGGAAATAACTTGACCTCATCTGAGTCATGGATATTTCCATATTCGTTGCCACCATAGGTCATTTTTTTTGCAAAAAGGCTTTCAAAGTAAACTTTATAAAGCCTTTATTTTGTAGTATTTAACAATAACTACTTAACTGCATGAGATATAATAGAGGAAAATTGTAGTTAGACACCCATTTCTACAAAACAGAGAAGAAAGAGCTAGTTTTGGTCCTTTAACAACATTTAATAAAATCCTGTTATTTTCTTCTTCTCCAATATTAATTCTATCTGCTTGAAAAAGTCTGATTAAAGCGGACAGGACTCAAACACAGAGTGTAATCAACAAGTAGAAAGGTCAGAATAACTTAAAAAAAAAAACAACACATAAATTACAGCCTACAGGGTTATTGCATTTCTACTTGGCATGTATCGTTTACATTTTGTGTGCGCATGCATCCAAGTGTAACCCTGATGCGATATGAGTTGGCTGTGTGCAGCTGCCGGCTGTGAGCCAGAATGGCTGGCTGACTGACTGGCGATCAGATAAAAAGCAGCGGGTGTGGGTGCAGCAGCAGCAGGAGCAGCAGCGGTGGAGGCAGGAGCAGCAGGGTTTAATGTTTGTTTTGTGCTCCCAGAGACAAAAGAAGCTGCATGCTGATTTTACTTGAGGCCTCTCTGTGGGCGTATTGTTTAAAAAGAAAAGAAGACAGTTTCAGTGTTGTTGCATTTCATCTTTCATTATTCTTTCATGTCTGTATTCTGTCTGTTTCCACATTTTATATCTGCTCATTTAACCACAAACATTACTGTTGTCTTTTTCCTCCCCCCCCCACACCTTTCTCTGTCTAGTTGGGTGGGTTATGAGTACCCAGAGTTCCAGGGACAGCAGTTTATTCTGGAGAAGGGAGACTATCCTCGCTACGAGGCCTGGAGTGGAAACAGCAGCTACAGAACCGAGCACATGCTCTCTTTCAGACCCATCAAGTGCGCTGTGAGTGGTCACATCCTTTAGTTCATCTTTTCCTCCCCCCACCTCATGCTCATTCCTCCTCACCCTGCAAATCATTTGTATGTATTGCGAAACACAAATTTTAAGTCTCTCCCTCAGCATGTCTTACACTCAGTTTGCCTCACTCAAGTTTGCCATAAGCTAATTAGATCTCATTACATAAACCCCTCTCCTCCATCATGTTATGGTCTTAACACTTGAAGCTAATTTAACCTTCATCCATACTTTTTAAAATGTTGATTACACCGACCCTGGTTTTGCAGTCTCCACCAATTGTAATCAAACTATTATTCAACTGCTGCAGCACATTAACATATTTCTTCTTTATTCCTTTTTCCTGCAGAACCACAGTGACAGCAAGGTGACCCTTTACGAGTGTGAGGACTTCCAGGGCCGTAAGTTTGAGGTGTGCGATGACTACCCCTCCCTACAGGCCATGGGCTGGTGCAGCAAGGAGGTGCCCTCTATCAAAGTCAGCTCAGGAGCGTAAGTTTGGCAGCTCGCTTTCTGCTTTTGGTGGCCATCTCTGTCTCCTATTTTTCTTGGTCTTTTGCAGTTTCCAGTCCCACACCTTTATAACTGTCCTTATAGATATTATTGTGTTCCACACATGCTAAAAATTAGTTTTTGTGATTTTGAAACATTCATCAATAGAGCGTAGTTTGAGGCAGTATTTAAGACGGATGTGCTTAAATCCAAACTTGTAAGCTGCTCTGAAGTGTAACTTGATTTGCTATGATTGTTATAAATAAACACAATCATAATATATATTACAGATATATATATACATATATATATATATATATATATATATATACACACACACAGGCACAACACACACACACAATATATTACAGACATAAATAAATGTCTGTGTTGCTGATACACTTCAAACTCTCACCTTACCCTCACTGACTCACTCCCTCTTCCTCTTTGCAGCTGGGTTGCCTACCAGTTCCCTGGTTACCGTGGCTACCAGTACATCCTGGAGAGGGACAGACACCAAGGCGAGTACAGAAACTACAACGAGTTCAGCACCCAGGCTCATACCAACCAGGTGCAGTCCATTCGTAGGATCCAGCACTAAGCCTTCACTCTGCCTGACCTGACCTGAAAAAAACTCTCCCTGACCCCTACTTCTTTACCCTGGGACAGACCGCTGTCACAGAACAGTAGATGGACAAACTCTCTCTATCACTCTGTGGCTCTGCTTGTATGGATAACTAAGTACCTTCTTCTTCTACCATGCTATAGCATGTTTTTGAAATAGGAAATAAAGGCTTTTCTTCCAAACTAGAGACTGTTCGTTTTTTTTTTTTTCCTTTTTTCATTAAAGAGAAATTATCAACCTAATTAGATAACTTAAAGTACAACTTAGAAAAGCAATGATTGGCTCCAGGGAGCTGTCAATCATTTTTTGCACCTTGATAGTCACAGGTGCATACTCATTGGGCAATCAGAGCTCCTTTCCTTCTGGCTTTTGAGCTTCATAGAGCAGGCTGTTACATAGCATAGGTTTAGCTTTGTATTTATTCAAAGGACATATTTAGCCTTTTAGTGAGCATCAATGGGACGATTGTTTCAAATCTCTCTGTCAGGCTTTAGACTGTGTAACATTGTTCTTGTCAGACTGTCTTCTTATTTTCAATAAACAAGAGCACGGGATTGACATCTGCTTCTATTATTTGTTCTTTGACCGCTGCAATCACATTAGCCAAAATGGCCAGTAAAGTGATCAACTGTTTGAAAAAAAATAATAATGGAAAGATAGGGTTAGGGTTAGACAAGCTGTTTGGCCATTCTGAAAGCATGCACTGCGTAAATGCCAATCAGGGTTAATCTTAAACATCTTGAGTGAATCATCTTTTGAGTATCTGTGGGTTAGGGTTAGGGTTAGGGTTAGGGTCACATTGAAGTTTTCTTGCTCTTGCTTGCACTTCCAATTTAACACAGTTTAAGCACTGCAACAATGACATCAATGACATCAGGCAGACAGTTCCTGTAAAAATCTGAATAGGTCAACAAAAGACACAGGTTCTTTCACTTTGTAGTACCAGTACACATGCAGCCCTTACCTATTTCAACTGTTTAATAAGCAATCCAGAAAAAGCCCAGCAGAGGTCCTCTATGAGACAAATGGCAACCACTGTTGTGTTAGTTACCAGAAACAAGGAGGTGTACAAGCACTGTCCAAAGCCCTGAACCTTGTTCGAATATACAGCCATGAAGACGACTGTTTTCAATGAGACCTACTGTAAAGGCTCTTGAAGTAACATCATGACAGATAAATTCATTAAAAAAAAATCTGCAATGTGTCCATAATTCATTTGTAAACCCTTATCAACTTCTTAGAGTTAATAGAAAAGGTCTGTTTTGAACTTTGTGACAAGACATTTCTCAGTCAGTCAATTGTTTTGTGATGCTATATTAATGACAAAGGTTATTATTCAATGGCAATTTTTTTTTTTTCTAGAGGAAACATTTCAGTATCACCAATATTGAAACGTCATTCTGTTTATGATGACGAATGCAGACTAGAGTAGTGTTTAAAACTTGTTACTCATAGACTGGTTTAACCCAAGTGAAAACCAGTCTTTAACCTTTACAGAGTCCCTGATCATATCTTTACACAACACAACGTTGGTGATAGACGTTATGTTCAGCTAACCACCAAAAACCAACAGAAAAAATGATCCTGTCACATCCTGCCATCCCTCCTATAATTTAAACCATGCACACTCTAGAGGTGACAGGAAAGATGTGTGTCATTAATTACAAAGGAAAGGGAAGTTTTGTATGTTTTTAACGACTTAAAAGCATCAACGGTATTGCACAGAACGACCTCCTCATAGTCTAGTAGCTTAGCATTTGTTTGTGTACTCTAATGTGACGTCATCATGTTTAACCATTAGTCACACAGCGGGATCCTGGACTGTGTTTACCTCCACACACACTCCTCCTGTTGGTCCAGGACATGGGATTCCGTGATACACACCCACAAGCCTGCACCGGCTCATGCGGTCCCACACCCAAAAAAACCAGGATCTTCTAATAAATGTGTAACCATGCACACACCTTTCACAAATATACATTCCTCTGCAGACAGATTAAAGCAGCTGCACTGGGGCTTACACAGGAGTGACACTTAGGGAAGTTGTCCAGTAAGTTACAAACTCCTCCAGGCGCACGTCTCAGAGCACTGAGGTAAGACTTATACTTAATTTTGCATTAATTCTTGAAGACACCGGCAATCAAACTTGTGTGTGTGAATGTTCTCTCATACTGAAAATGAATTTGATCTTATTTTTGCTGTCACTACAAAATGACGACTTAGGCCACTGTACAGGGTTTGTATTTACTGTACTATACTTAAATAAAAAGCCAACCGATCTTGATTGATAAGAGTTGAAGGGTTTTAAGGGATATATGCAAGATTAATATGCAATTAACTTGAGTTTGCAACTTTAACTGCATCAATTGAAATTGCAACCATCAGCTGACCACAACACTTTTTGACATTCATTCTTTACGATATCAATATGCATATAGAAAAATGAATGTGTTATGTCAAACAAAGGAAAAAAATGAATGAATGATTTTCTAACGTTTTCATCATGTTATGTGATTGTATTTCCTTCTCATAGTGGTTTCATTGGTTCATGCTCGCCTCTGAAAGAAATGAATTTATCTTCCTACAGCCGTCTTTTCATGGATACATTCTAGTTTTCGAGGCTTGTTTTAAGTTGCCTGCGACTCGTACATGGACACAGGCAGCTAAAGCAAGTCTGGGACGCCAGAGTCAAACCTTCAAGCACAGCCCTGAGGAAACGATGCCTGCATGCAGAAAGGAAACATCCAGGCCCTGAGTGCAAGAGGAAGGAACGTAGGGAATTATAAGACAATCAATTCTGCATTGATCATTTACACAAGAGTTCTTAATCTTTTTTCTCTGAGAGGAGAAACCTTGATATAGTATGCCATTGCTGATTTTTTTCAACCCATAGGACAATTAAAGAATTTGTGCAACTTTGCATGCAATCATTATCGACAATATAACATGTTTTACAAATATGTGGCCTTGCTCTGTAAGTTGCTCTGTAAGATCATGCATAATTCCTCGAGTGTGTTTGCACTTGTGCTTATCTGAGCTCAGTCAGGTGACACATCACAGAACAAAAACTATAATAGATAACGAACGATTAGCACACTGTTTACTTTAAGTTCAGTCAACAGAGAGTAGTTTGAATTTAAGGTTTGAGTCAAGATCTTTTGCTCAGCTGACGTATTGGAAAACAATGTTAGGGTATTTATGTTTCTGTTTGAAGAATTTGAATGATCTCTTTTTGGAATAAAGGATAACCTCTGTTGAATCTTAAGACAATGTGACCTACAAGTACTTTCTCTTAGAACTTCACCTTTTTCAGAGTGAATCCTCGGTGCCTGAGTGAATTTAATTTGTGAGTCCTGCTGTAATGCTGACACCTGACACCTACTCGGTCTTGTTTATGGTATGACATATATATTGCATTTTTGACAAGACAAACAAGATGCCAATCCCCATGAGATCTAGAAGTATGATATTTTTCAAAGATGCACAGATGTTGGTGTCAGAAATTTACAAATCATATTTAAAAATGTTGGGGTTTTTTTGCCTTTTTTAAGCCACATTTGTTTCTGTGAGGCTGTACTTCTAGCTACTAATGGACAAAATTGTCATGGTTTTGAATTCCCCCACAAAAAAGGATAGAGGACCAAAAACATTTATTTAACAAAAAGGCAAAAGGCAAAAACAAAAAAATTCGATTCATATCCAAGAAAGTCCATCAAAAATCCACGAGGAGCCATTATTAGAGTACACAGATGTGTGAAATGACATGAAGAGGGAAGGAACACTGAGACTAAATAGACACAAGGTGAAGACAATCAGGGAAATCAAAATAGAAGAAGGAAGAAAGACAAGACAAGAAACACTGGGGACAAGAACTGCAAAATTACAATTGTCAACCATGTATCCAAAATCCCCTTCAACAGCAGGGTAAAAGAACCTTTCAAGGCACTGTTTCCCATTCAACCTGGGGTGCCAAGGGGTGGCGCCAAAGGTCTCGAAGGGGGGCATGAGGCTTTTTTTCTGCTTTGAGGTTGTCTAAATAAGATTTTCATATATTGACTATGATCACTTACTGGACTGTTCTGAAAAGGTATTTTGGTAAGAAGCAAGTGTGTGTAGACCCATTCTGTTGTGATTTTTCAATGGAAACTATTAAAGTTGATGTCATTTTTGTTGGACACGTATCATTTCTTTTCGATTGGGTCCTCGGGGGTCCCAACTTTTCTGAAATACAAATACAAGGCTCCTAGGAAAAAAGGTTCGGGACCACTTTCAAGGATCCTTAGATGAAAATTGTTACATATTCTGTAGCCTATTCTATCTTTATAAGAAAATCTGTCAATAAAAACGCATAAATCTATAGTAGTGGACATGGTAACATCAGTGAGTATTAAAGGCCATGGTTTTAAAGTTACAACCTCATTATCCTCAGATAGAGGCTGTATAACCCTAAACCCACAAACAGAAGGTTGGAGGGTGGGATGAGGGGGGTGAAATGTCCTTGTTTTCTCATGTGCACTGAGGCGTGTTTTTCAAGGTAAATATTCTTTTTCCAGCATGAAATCGCTCTTTGTTGTTTGCCCAGAGGTAAAGAGGCGGAAAAGTGAGGAGGGTCTGAACTGGTTTCCATGTCAAACACTTCAATTCACCATAGAAACTCAGATCTTAACGCGGAAACTTTATTAAACTGTGATGGCGGATTGATAAGGGCCGAATTTCTATCGGCCTCTTTTTATTGTGGGCACCAGTCGGGCTGACAGAGGTAAATTGCTCTTTTAATTAAAGCAATGCACCAGGGGAAATTGCTGTCTGAATATTGTCTCAGAGATGGGGGCCAGTGACAGTTGCCTGGAAACTTCAATCTGTCCACCCGCATTTATTCCAGATCCCAGTTATGAGATAAAGTTTAATAAAAATCTTTTCCTCCGCCACCACCGAAATGAAATCCAACCCTTTCTGAACAAGTGAACACAATGAGACAGGACTGCGGAGGAAACCTCATGTTCAACATGTATCTCTCAGGTTCGTCATTTAGTCCTGTGCAGAATTATAGGAATAATCTGTAATAATTCTTTAAATCCTGCTCTGGGTGTGGGTGTCCTGAGGCGGGGATGCTCCGTCTCAGGGCAGAGCATTGTTCAGCGGTTTCAATCTGAAAGCCCGTCTGCTCTTTTGTCGGAAATCGGAAATCCTTTTTCCTGGACGCGTTTCCTGGCTTCCCGGAGAGGAGAGCGCACAGACGACACGCTTCTTGCATTAGACTGAGACTGGACCAGGACACTATTAGGATTTTTACCTATTTTGACTTTTTTGAGATTTTGATTTTTTTTTTTTTGTATTTACATTTTACTCTACTTTGAATTGTTAGCAATAGGCTATATTGAATACACACAATACGAATTTAACAACTATAAACCATTTTCTCCTACAGATAATTGGATTCCAAGCAATTATTTCATCATCCTTTTCACTTTGAACTGATCCAACTTAGTCAAATCTAAAAAAAAAAAAAAAAATCTTATTTTTTTTTTAAATGCAAGACTATTCTTTGAAAAAAAAGAGGATCAGACAGTGGTCGCCAAGGCTTTCTAACATTTACAGGCAATAGAGCCAGATTGTAATAGATACCAGGCCTTCAATTCAATATAAAGGAGACACAACTAATGTTGGAAATGTGTTTGTTTTGATTTCAGATCCAACAGAAAATCTGTTGAAAGAAAGCAAAGGAACAACCTGGGGTCCGATTAACACAGGAGTGCAAAAAGGTAAGAGGAGAGAAGGCAATCTATGGCCTGCCAGACAATGTGAAGGGCACAGACCTTTCAAATTAATCAGCCGGATATGATATGAAAGAAGCCTTGAAATACTCCAACATCGTATTTGAAAAAATCAAAAATGAAATCATGAGGCTAATAGACGCATTGTTTGGTAATAGGTGGTTGGACGGCTGCCCGCCTCCGAGTGTTTAAACAAAATGTTTTGGCTGTATTGAAAAGAGAATAGGTTTGATAAAGATTGCATCCCTATAATGCTCTTTATATCATTTTCACATCAATATGCATTAGAAGCTGTATTTATTTTTGACGGGGCCTTCTATGGGTCGAATTATGCAATTGATAAAAACAAAGCTTTCAGTTTAAATCTCTCTTCATTGGGTAGATATGCCACAGCACACATACTTTATCTAATTTATTTCCAGGAAGTATTTTTTTTCCGCCCCTCATGACGCGCTTTGCACTCCAAAATATATTTTGCAAATGATTTGGCTCACATTGATACTCAAAACTGAATAATCGAAAAAATGTCAAATCAAATCATGCAATGCAATTAAATGTATATGACTGAACTTAAAGCCATGGCAATGCAGCTTTGGACTATTTGTATCGCACAGTTCATACACTGAGGCAATTCAGAGTTGTTATAGCAACAAAAATGATTCATTTCTAAATCCACACCTTTTTGTCATTGATCCAAATAAATCTGTCAGATTTTTTAACAGCAATAGCCAAACGCACACGGCCACAAAAAGGACCATTCGTAACGTTTCTTTAAAGAACAGCTCCGTGGACATTTCTTTATTTTTAAATTGTAAACGATCTTTGGACTTGAGTTTAATATTGAATCATTTGCGCCAATATTATAGCCTATTTTAAACAGAGAAGCTTAATTGATAAATCCAAGAATACCCTGTCGGTTAAAAAATACACAAATATTCTGCAAAGGCAATTAGAGAGGCAGGTCTGCTTAATACATTACTGTTAAATTTACAAATAGAAGGACCACCGTCTATGTAGCCTATAGCTGACAAATCATTGTTTAATTTAAATTATTAAAATGTCTAAGTAGATATAATACATGTTAGTCTACAACATGCCTTGAAACAAATAAAGATTTGAATGTGATTTCATGATCGTTTTTTATTATTATTATTATTATTTTATTCTATTTTATTGTTAATCAATTTTATATATTTCAGACTTTTGTTCTGCTTTTCATTAATTCATTAATTTATAATTTCGTATTTCTTCGTTGTACCCCTGCACAGGCAGCGGTCAGATCCAGCTGTGGCAGTTTCTGTTGGAGCTCCTCTCTGACAGCACCAACATGTCGTGCATCGCCTGGGAGGGCACAAACGGCGAGTTCAAACTCATAGACCCGGACGAGGTGGCTCGGCGTTGGGGGGAACGCAAAAGCAAGCCCAACATGAACTACGACAAGCTGAGCCGCGCGCTGCGCTACTATTACGACAAAAACATCATGACCAAAGTGCACGGAAAGCGGTACGCATACAAGTTCGATTTCCACGGCCTGGCCCAGGTGTGTCAGCCGACCACCACGGAGCAGGCCATCTACAAGTTTCAGGGTAACTTCTCCCCGATCCCCTTCTCCGGGATTTCCAAACTGAACCTCATGGCTCCCGGCGTGGGACCATCGGGGTTCTCCTATTGGCCCGGTTCCCCTCCGGCGGCTCTGTATCACACCCACAACCTTCAGCCTCCAGGGCCTTTTGGGACCGTGTCTCCGTCCCACATCAGCTGTGTCAACAACATCAGCAGTCTGAGTAACATCAATAGCCATTACAACTGACTCTTAATGCATCTGTTAGACAGACTGGAAACATATAGACACCACTGGTAAATACAGCAACCGAAGGCGACAGATGACAAAGAAGATTGAAAGATCAGGGCTGGCAATTTTCAGTGAGAAAGACTTTATTTGGTCAAAAATAAACGTTAGAGTTTCGGATTGTGGGCTCATTCTCGACGTGTATATAAGGAACGATTGTGATTTAGCTTAGAGATCGTATTTAAAACTGACAAAAACTCAAATTAAAATACATGAATAATATTTTGCCACACAACACCCAAAGGTTAGACATTTGTTCAGGGAAAATATATTGAATCCACCGAGACTGGGCAAATTAAATTACCGATCACGCGCTGATTACGCATCATGATTGGAACTTTTACGCACAGTATTTTGATAATTCTTTCTGAAATTGAATCTAATCTGTAAAGCCCCAAATGTGGTTTTTCCTTAAGAAAAAAAATGTCGGAAATATAAAATGAAAAAAGTAGCCTGTAGACAGTTTTCAAATATTAGGTATTGCAATAAGGTTTGCAGATCTTTTTTTTTTATACCTATCAGTTCTCCTCCTGTTCTGTTCCTTTGCTGTCTCTCATCCTCCTTCCATGAGTTCTGTCATTGTTTTTACATACAGGTGGTGTATAGTGGAGCAAATCAGCAGTTATTACTGGTGTGTTGGCGCCATCCCGTGGTTTTGAAGTGGCCCTGGTAATGGCTGTGTGTTTCATTTGATCGTTCTACTCAATATTACCTTTGAAACCTTAAATGTATTTTCTTATGAAGCACCGTTGACCCCGACATCTGATTACACATCACAACACCTGCAGAAAAAAAAAATCCCACTTGCAATAAAACTGAACCCAGTACAGATTTTCAGGGTTGTTATTTGTGTGAAATAGCTCAAACGGGAATCGTGAAAGAACCTTTAAATTCGTGAACTATTCTTCGTAAGTACTGTTGGGTATAGAGTTGAAGGCAAGCTCAGGAGGATAACATAACATCCGCGCAGCTTCATAGTGTAGCTAAAACATGAATTAAATGAATAAAGGCTGTTGTGAATACATTTGTTTGTTACTATGTGTTGTAGTGGTGTGCTGGTGCCCCTTTGCTTTAGTTTTAAATACTCATGTACAACTAAACGGTAAATTGTAATATTTAACACGGAACAAACAAGCAGCAGGATTCATGTCATCGCTCTTAGGAGGGGGAAGAAAATAATAATCAATAGCCTGCTCGGAAACAGGAAATAATTAAAAAGCCAAATTTGAAATATAGATTTAACAAATATTTAACATAATAATGAAACTGGTTTAAAGGTTTCTACATTTTGCCCCTTTCGACTTGCCAGCAATGGCACACAAACACATCATTGATTGGGATGACACATTCAAAGAGAATGAAACAAATGCCACTTTCAGATTTTCAACATCACATTAGTATTTCACAAGTTTTGACTTCAACACTAATTTAATGGTGTGGTGTTTTTTATGCGTTTGTAGTTTGAGCTGCTGGTAGAGGAAAGCGGTGGTTCAGGATGACATCTTGTCAGCCACATGAGGGCGCCATAGTTGTGCCAATTTTAGCTCACCGTTTACATAACGAGATAACGGTGAACAGTCGATTTAATACAGCAGAGAGAAACCACCTGCAAATAGCAGATTAACCTAAAACCTAATTTTACGACAGTGCAGGCCTCCAGAGACTCACGTAAGTCTAGACTGAGAATTTTCAAACAGCTGAATTGATATGTGAATTGAATGTAGTTTAGCAGTTTGAATTGGTAAAGTGTATGTGTTTTTGTAGTTCACAGTAAAACACTATTTATAATCTGATTTCAAGTGTTCCGAGTATTTTCTAACATCCAAAAGCATTAAGATGCAAACTTATACCTGAAAAAATGCAAAATGTATTAATGCAATTTAAAAACCTAAATTCACATGCCAATTAAGTGAGCATATCTTCATATTATTAATGTTTCGTGTTTCCACTCTCTGTTTGTTGTCGTCAGAGCTGCAGCTGAAACTTCTCAAACTGTTATACTCGCCACATGAAAGAGTCAGAGAAACACAATCAGTTAAGAGAAAAAAAAAACAGAGGAGTTATAATCATCAGTTCTAAGGTGAACTCATGATGGGAAAAAATATAATAAGTCGTAGTTTGCACATTCATCGGCTACAGCGTTTTCTTTTATCTTCCACTTGTCCTTCCTGCATTTGTTCCTGCAGCTGTGCAACTTTGTAGTCTTTGGGAGCCTGCAGTTTTATCTTAAACGTCTTTATATTATTAATATCGTTTGTTCAGAGTTTGTTAGATATGACTATCAGCTGATGGCAGACGCAGTTACGCTTGTGATAGGTTATATGAAGCTAACTCCGCCCCTTTAATGTGAACGTGCTCTTGGAAACTCTGGGTTGATTACCAGCTTCATGCTGTTGATCCCGGTCTCTTATGTCAGGGTTAGTGAAGCAAGATAAGCCGAAGATACGTTGGACTCGCTTCGTAGTACAGGCCCCTGGTAATCCTGTGCTTTCCATAGAAGGGAAAGGACATAAGTTTTAATGTGAGTGAATGAGAGATGAAGTATCATTTAAGTACCCCAGTTGTGAAGCTGCACGGTTGAGATAGAAAGTTATTTTTCTTTCTTTCTTCTCTAATTGTGGTCCAAGTGGCAGCATGTAAACAGGGGGACTGCTCTGCTTTAGCAGTGTTGCAGTTCTTTCTAAATGGCTGAGAGGGCAGTCTTGATTCAGTGGTATTCCTTAAAACTTGACTAGTGGGAGTTAAGTATAGATCAATACGGTGGTGAAATGCAAAGGGCTGAGAGAAAACTACATGTAGCAAGAAATGGAGCAAGAGATACAGGTCTGTAATTCTTTACATTAAAAGGCTTGGCTAATTTCATTGTGATTAATGGCTGAATATAATGCATTGATTTTTACATCATATTAATCTTGTACTATAATATCCCTTTTGGTGCACTGTGTAGCAAAGCCGCTGTAGCGTCTTCTTGCTGCCTCAGTGGTGACACCACCCAAAAAGCTGACTCCACTGCACTGTTAAATGGCTAATTTAACTTCAGAAAAAACATTCTCAGAGAGCTCAGGTGACAAGTCAAAGTACTTTCAGTTTGAGCAACTACCTACGAGCTAAGCATACAGGTTCAGCTAATTAGACTGATGAGAGTGGGCAACCACATCACCAAAGCCTGCAGGGCTCTATTTTTGACCAGTGGATGAAACTAAATCCAGGAAGTTAATTACAACGCTTGCTCAATGGGTGGCAATTGACTGCAGGCCAGACAACAATGTGTAAGAGTCGGGACTAGAGACGTCCTCAGGTTGGCATGTTGTAAGCAGTTACATGCCTTTTCCTTTGCAGGAAACCATAGTTTCATGTATGCAGGACGTGTATGAAAAAGAGACAGCAACTAAACTAGAACTCCTTAAAAATGCAAATGTTGTCACATTAATTGGGATCAATGGATATCAGTGAGTCACGTTGTACATGCACTCATGCATATAATGCAATGTATAAAAGTGATACTCTTTGAAAACAACAACAACCAAAAAACTGTGTACTTTCACAAATAAGCACTTTGAAGCTGCATGTCTCATGCTACGTCATGGTTTCAGACTCCATGGTAGCAGTGCAGCACTTAATTAAATATAAAAGTCAAGACGATAGAGTACATTTCTCCTCATTCACTTGATTCCCAAATCAAGACACTGGTACTTATTGCTGCATGGTCGGGTGATGGTTTTTCAAACAAAAAGACAAACTGCCTGAAAGTACACTGACCCTACACACACTGTTAATATGGACTTATAAAAGTGTTTTAAGGGCCGCTGGTAGCGCAGTGGCGCTGTTGTAAGTGCACGCGCCCCATATGGCTATAGTCCTCCAAGCGGCACAGGTGGGATCAAATCCCACCTGTGGCTTCTTTCCCGCATGTCATTCCCCACTCTCTCTCTCTCCCTGATTTCCATCTCTATCCACTCTCCTATCTCTCCAGGCACAAAAAGCCCTCCCCCCCAACAAAAAGTGTTTTAAAAATTAAAACAATCTTATTTTAACCATGCAAATAAAAAATGAATAATCGCGGTCAACTATTGAAATTCAGCAATTAATCGTGAATTTAAAAAAAATTGTTTTGACAGCCCTACATTTAACTTTTGAAACAACAGACAATGTATTGTAAAAAGTGAAGGTGCACAATTTAAACAAAGGAAGTGCATGTAAGTTGTGTAAAATAACTCAAATCAAAATCCTGAGTGAAAAAAGTAAAAAAAACTAAAAAGGGTCCCATTCATGAAAGGCAGCTGTAAAGTGACCTGTAAACACTAACTCAGCAGGCTGACTAAACACCAACAAAGACTTGTTATAAAGAACCAGCTGGTCACTTTGATGGAGCAGAGATTTAGTTGCCAATCAAATTTGCGTCTTTTCCAAATTAATAAATAATTAGAAGATTTTTTTTGTCGGGAATAAGCACAGGGCATTATACGGAGACCAGGCAGCTGATTATGACAAATTGCCTCCTTAATCCTGCAGAAAAAAGACACTCTCTGTGTTTGTATTGTTATTTCTTAGCTGTGCATTAGACACCATTCATCACCAAATCCTATTAAAGTGACTGGAACACTTAATTGGAATTAAAGGAATCTCTCTCTCTCTCGCTTTCTTACCTAAACTTTCAAAGAAGATGGTCATTGACTGTGTGTACCGTAGTTCTGCTCAAGGATTCTAAAGGGAAGTGAGAGGAGGTGTTTACATCACCCATGTTTACTGATGGTGGATTAGCGCTGGGCCTGTCTAATTGCCAAAAGAGAGAATACATCCTGGACTTGCTCTATATGTAAAGTGTGAGTAGATAACTTTAGTTGGAATTTAATGCTGATCATTGAATCTATAAACAGGGACTTCATGTGTGTTAGTGTACATGTTTGTAAGAGAGAGTGGGTCACTCATTCACAAAAACAGCATGTGTGTGTTCTGCATCTCAATAGAAAAGAAGTCACTACTCACAACTGAGGCTTGTTTTCTATCTGGCTCTCTCTCCCTTTCTCTCTGTCTGTCTGTGAGAATGTTGATAGTCTGTAAGGATTTAGGCACCAGATAGAGAGAATGACAAAGAGAGGTGTTGCTCGAGCTTTGTAAAACAAACAAAAAAAAAACCCCACAGCATATCATCATCAAAGGGATTGAGTCACTTTGACAACAGTGTAAATGTCACAACTTCTCAGCCGACTGTTCTGGCTAATCCGCGGAGTGTATTGCTGCTGCTAAGCAGCACTCATCCTCTCTCCTCTTACGCAACAAACTGGGTGGGTGTTTTCCCTGGAAACCACATGGTTATTAGCTCAATTTAAGAGGAGACTGAGGAGTGACAAAAAAACAAAAACGAAAAAAAAAAAAGTGTAAGAGTGGTAGGAAAGCAGTAAATCATTCTTAGTTTTATGTTGTAAAAATGAAACATGTAAGTGTATCAATTCTTAGCTCACTGATCAAAGTCCGTTCTTAGCCATTTGTAAATGCCCCTTGTTTGGGTTTATTTATACAGAGACAGTCTGTGTGTAGGCATGCAGTCAGTCTCAAAGTTGTCCTCAGGAATTAGACAATTGTCGCTTGCTCACAGAAACAGCTTTAAGGACCACACTAGGGTTTGTCAAAAACCAAGGAATCCCCTTTTTGAGTTGATATTAAAATGCCCATTTTTACAGCAACAATACACATGTTTACAGTCTGGCACTGAAAACAGGTCAGGTTTCTTAAGCTCAGGGTCTTTATTGATAAAACTGTGAGGGGGGTGATTAAAAAAAAAACTCATCCATTTTGATTTAATTGAAGCTAAGAGTTATACATAATAAGGCATCACATCAGGCATGGCTTATTGACAGACAGTTGGGTGTGTTGTGGTTTTTGCCAGGAATCACTTCAATAGCTATATCCTGTTAGCAACCTTAAAATGTTGGCTTTGTTTGGGCTGTTTTCATTGTTTGGGATATAAATGACATAATAGAACAGCTAAATGGGCTTGTTTCAGCATCCAAGAAATGTGTTTGGCCCGCCTCAACTCTTCTTCTGACTGCTTCTTGTTCAGTTGGAAGTTATATGAGTCAGCATTTCCAATATGGCGACCACCATCGTTGGGCTTCCTACTCCCGCCTATAATCCAAAAGGATGATGTCACTGAGACTACAACAATGTTTTATTAAGTACATGGTCTTTTTCCAGGCATTAAGAGTTTGTTATTCAATCAGGCAATATCTCAGTGAAGTTTTAGTAATCTAGACTTGTTTACGTAAAATCTTGCATTTTGTACGAAAAGTATTCCAATTTTCTTTTCCAAAACTAAAAGGTTCATTCAGTCGATGGTTTAAACATCTGACAGATTGGATTAGGTAACTGTGTATAATCATCCCCACAGCTCTGAAGAACTCTTGACAAAGTGTACACTATGAAAAATTAAATGTGTATTTTGTTATTTCTAAGGTCCTCCAGTCTTGAAACCCTTCAGCACAAGTAACAGGCAGGAACTTGAATTTTATGACTAATATTCACCAGTTTAATACGACATAGTGGAATATGATAGATAACCTGCATGCCAGAACAAAACATCTGCAGCAAGTATTTTTTCTTCAAAACATTTTATGATTAAATTTGCTCAAAAACTGATTGATTCCTGACAAATTGAACACAAGTCACATATTCAGGGTGGAATGAGTCCCACAGCTGTGCTTTACTGGGACACAGCATACATCAGTGAGTGGGCTTCGTGTGGCTTTGTGAAGTGTTGCAGTCATGAGTGAGTCATAGAGAGTGGTAATGAAGG